AAGCAATCTCAGAGTTTTAGTAGTATATTGACAGATTCTTCAAGATCTTGTTTTTGTCATCTTACGCCTTTTAATGAAGATTGGAACACTGACAGGGAAATAATATAATAGCCAATGGCGAGAGGTTTTCGTTTATAAAATTTGTTGTTGTTCTCGACTTGATTTTTATTTTATTACTCGTCTCCATAGTTACTAGTTGCAAATATTCAATAATATTGTAGATCCATTTTATTGTCGTTCTTTCTACGCGCCGTTATAACACATTTTCATCTCATCATTTAATTTCTGTTGTGCATATATTGCTGTATAGAAGATATTTTAAAGTGATTCATCACGTGAAAAACGATTAGATAGATAGATAAACTGATATGTGGCGATATCTAGTGTACCTAAATTCATCTAGAAATTTTCATAAAGTGACCCGAAAAACGGGGCTAACTCGGTAACCCGTGGCCGGATTTTAACGAAACTTGTTTTATTCTGTTCCTATTCTTATTTCATTACAAATACGTCACTACTGTGCGCCGTTTTTGCTGTATTTAATTACAGACAAGCAAACAAACAATCTCAGAGTTTTAGTAGTATATAGATTTAATTTTCTTTGTTATGACTTCTGATGTGGAACCGAGTGGGTTTTATTAATCAGGATTTATTAAATGCAAACCCAAAGACTGATCATTCCCACCTTTTTTCCTTAATGGGTTTGTTACTTTTTTTTCTAATGAGTCTGCCCATTTCCCCAATGTGTACGTCATAACAGATTATTTTCGGGCCCGACATGGCCAGGTGGTTAGGGGCGCTTGAGTCAAAATCTGCAGGTTCAAATCCCCGTCCCACCAAACATGCTCGCCCTTTCAGCCGTGGAGGCGTTATACTATGACGATCAATCCCACTATTCGTTGGTAAAAGAGTAGCTCAAGAGTTGGCGGTAGGTGGTGATGACTAGCTGTCTTCCCTCTAGTCTTTCGCTGCTAAATTTAGGACGGCTAGTGCAGATAGCCCTCGTGTAGCTTTGCGCGAAAATTCAAACCAAGACTTTTTTTTTCTAATTGGTACTTACCATTCAATCCTTCATATCTCTTGTGTTGGTTCGTTTCGAAAGTTACTTAAATTTTAGTTTAGTAGTATCCTTTGTTCAGGTAGAAATGTTATTAAGCTTGCTGAATGAAACCTTTGATTCTATGTTCATCCGTTTCAATCAACAGAAGTAATATTTGATTGTAATGAAGTTATTTTTTTGCTTATCCGGTACAAGACATCCGTGTTTTATAGTATTGTAAGTAGCTTTTTAAGGCGTTTTAGTGTAAATTTCCACGAAATATTTAAACTAGTAGATTATGGTCATTAGAAATAATGAGTAAATGGACATTTAATTACTAAACAGGCCTCATTTTCTTCTTGCTTTAGATGGCTGCTTAGTTCATTACGCTAATTTACATATTAGAGAAAAAAAAAACGTTAACGATGCTAAAAGTGGTAGAATTAGCATTAAAGCTTTAATTTATCCTTACTATTACTAGCCTTCAATGATATGTAACACAATAAAGGTTTTCTATATATATTTCTGTTCTACTTGTTGAGTGACAGAATGTGTAACCCTTCTGGTTAGGAAATAATTTAGATTCTTATCAAGTGAATGAATTAAAAGCATATTTATAAATGACGTATTAATTAATGCATTTATATTTTCACTTCAAGTGTAGAAGAACCCAGTCGAACTTCAGTGTAGCTCTAGCTTTATTGGTTTAAAATTTTCAGTAACATCAAAGCCATTAACTCCATCAACTGTAACACTATTATAAGGCTTTGGATAAAAAGTCATTGCTTCGTCATAAATAATGGTCGCTACGTTCTTTGCGATGTAATAATCTCGTTGACTTACAAATATCAACTTCTTTAATTATAGTGTATCAAGGAACACTATTGGCTCTTTAAAACTTTTTTTCAATGGTAATTCAAAAGATTACTCCTGCTTGAAGAAAAATACGCTTTTAAGTAGTCTAGAATAGTATAGAAAATCAATTTTCTTAGTGACCTAAAGAGCTCGCGTTATTTCTTATGATAACTACATCTACAATAAACCAAAAAGTCGGTATTGACAGAATGATAACTTTCTAATTTGCTTTAAAAGTATCTGGCACTGATTAAATGAGATAATACAGATATCAACAGAGGTTATAATAAGCTGAAATAAATAGATGTAGTACCTAGTACATCATCAGTTTGTACAACTGAATATGGTAGCTAGAAACTCAAAACTCAGATGAACGGGTTTTGTGACCATTGCTTTCCGATCTTTAGATGGTATTTGATAGCATAATTTAAGAACTGTGTTTTGTGATTATCACTTGACGTACTTCATGAGGTTGTGAAATCAATGACTGAAAGGTTGTTGTTTTCCGAGCCACTGAGTGAATTCTCTGATGAGAAATGACACCCGATGTTTCGAAAGGACCCCTTCATTGATCTAGCAGAGTGACAAAAACTGTATGCAGCAAGCTGCCTGATACTTAGTAGAGTATCCCCTATATACTTGGAAAGTATGCCAATTTTACTTGGAGTAAGAGAGTTGTGTTTCCTCTAAGTATAAATACTCTATTGTAATGACAATATGAGTATTAATTCTGGTTGACGAAAATTTTAACTGAAAAGTCTAAAGTTGTACTGAATTCTGCCAGTGATTATTTATTTCTCGGTGTCTGAAATGATAGACGAATTGATCTTATCTATGACAGCACGTTACGGGGTCTTCGCTACCAAAATGTAGCTTTGGAATATAACTCAATAAGGTTACCGAAGTAGTTTATGCAGGAGCCAGTGACAGTCTT